ACATCAACAGTGAGTCTCTGATTTGGAGGTTTGAACAGTGGTTACATATAGGAGAGAGCGTCTTTGGGAAATTCATCGGAATGATGGGGCATCACGTTTGCAGTTTGCTCTCTAATGGTTCAGAAAAAGACTAATGATAATTAGCATATATACAGAGAGACAGTGAGACAGAGAGAACAAATTTATTAAAATGTAAAATGTCACCCAACTGGGGAATCTTAATGAAGCAGATACTGATTTCTTTGTAGTGTTCTAACATTTCTGTAAGTTTTAAATTATTTCAAAATAAGTTATTTTTAAAATTTCTTAACAAGTGCATATGGAGATTAAACATGAGAAATATTTATAAATCAATTTCAGAACTTATATTCAATGAAACCAGTGACTTCTTTGATATTACCGAAAAATATGCACATTATTCAAACAACTGCTCTGGTGGACTCCTTATTGCCTCTTGTGGGTGAGATTCCACTCCCCCCCCTCACCCCCACACACACATGAGCTAGCCATCTGGACTCCAGACACATTGCTTGTGGCTTCTTGTAGCCAACCCAGAAGTTATTACAACAGTAAAGCATTCTCTAAGTGCTCAGATCCGATGGTGAAATGAGAATGAAGAAGGAAGGAGCAGAAGCTGTACAGGGAGAATCAGAGGAACAAGTAACTGACTCAGATAATAAGGATGAGGGAGGAGATTAAAGGAACGGTAGAGCCTTAACAAAACAGGAAGTCAGAAGAAGCTTCTAGAGTGGTGGTAAAGAAGATAAATTTGTTTTTAAGTTGGTCGATCATAAACTGATTACAGGGCATTCCAAATTAAACATCCTGCAGACTCTGGGAACCATGAGGCTAAAACCCACAGAAGAAATGGATTTTGGCTTCTAATTAAAGAACTAATAATCATTCCCAGAAGATTTGCAGATTGTTAATATATTACATTCATTCCTCAAACCTAAGAGACTAATAAAGTTTTCAACATCAGTAAATTTGAGTGTTGAAAAGTAATATTGGGTCAAGGATTAACATATATGCTTTGTATGCATTGGCTTTTTATTGAGATAACCCACAGCTATTTTTCATAAGCCAACAATCACTTTCATTAGTAGTTGGACATATTTTTTGTTAGAACTAAGAATATCCTGGTATAGCTCAGAAATTCCTAAAACATCAGGTTCAGATCATTGATAAATATAGAATATGGCGGCGGGGGGTGGGGGGATGTCGGGGAATGGAATCCAGTTAAAAACAGTTTAGCCAGGGAGCTAATTGTATATAGACAATCTTCTTTACGAAATGCACTACTAATCTCCTTACATAATGTTCAATTAACTGAAGTGCTTTCAGTTAGCTCACTAGATGATAAAAAATAAACAAACAATGAGAGTCCATAATTGGAAGCAAATACTGAAGCGGGCCAATCAACTTTGTAAAAGAATGTAAAAGAATGAAGATACTTCCTCAGTTACTCCTTCCATATTCACATAACAAATCCATCACGACCAGATTACTGTTTATAAAATTCTAACATAAGGATTTTTTCAAAACATTTATTCTATTAGTCACAGTCTAAACCAGTATAGCATTCATTAGTCACAGATGCCACTAGTTATTAACAGTTTCCTGAAGGCATTTTTACCCTTAATATCTGTTACATTTGCTGCTCGTACATTTTAATTATAAATTAAAAGCAATGCAAATATTATAATCAGAGAAAAAAGAGCATATCTACTTATTGAAATGCTATATTTAAAATCACTTTAGTTTCAGGAATTGTTCATGTCAGCTAGGCTGCATTACATCTAGTCATATTACACCTGCAGAGCCTGAGAAAAAAACTAAATACACTAAATTTGTCATTGCATAAAATCACACTGGCAAATATACATATTTCATGAATGGAAAGTTCTCCCCATCCAAATCTTCCTACAACTGGAATGTTTAAAATCTCATCACAAAACATTCCTTCAAAGGTAGCACCTCTCAAACTTGATTTCTATTAAGTGGGAACTTTATTATGGACCCTCCTAAATTGATCTGAATAATTTTATAGGAATAATATGTAAATATGTTCAAACTTGAAACTAGATATAAACTCCATTTGCTTATACCTTTCGTATAACTGTAAAGCTAAACCCTATCTGTAAACTTAACATAAAACTTAAAAAATCGATCAGATTAACAGCATTGATTTGATGGTTAATGCTGTGCTGAAACTAAATTACTAGTCACAACAAGAATATGGTACTATTTGCTACCGATATTCTTTTTACATTCGTATAGCTTCATGACCATTTTTGTATATAATAACATATACCATATATATGCAGCATGACACAGTATCACAGAATTTAGAGTTAGAGTTATATATAAAATACTAATTTTTAATATAAGGCAAATTAAGGAATAAGAATCCATTAATAAATGGAGCTGAATATTGACAATTCCTTGTCAAAATGTGCAAGTATTTTTATGCCCCAGTTGCAGTCATGGATTTAGAAAGAGAAAAGCAGTAACATTTTTATATTTATATAAAATATTTATAGTATCCATAAAAACAAGTAAGATTTAATTCATTAAGTACATTTTTCCAGTATTTTAATGTTTCAGGTATCCTTGGCACTCCATGTAGTAAGCAGGACCTCACTTTTAAAAGTATTTTCAAACTTTGTAGAGAGGGTTTTCTGTTATGTAAATTACTTAATTTTAAAAGAACAAATTTCTGTAACTGAAATTTGTTTAAATTTGTTTAAATTAAAAATATATATATCTTTTTAAAAAATATCCAAGATTTTTTTAAAAAGCTAAATGATTAGAGGATAAAACCATGACTTGGTACTTTGTATTGTAGAAAGACATTGAATCCTGACTGCCCAGTTGGGTCTTTGAGATGTTTTGGAAGAAGAATCTATTGAAGATGGTAATGGTTATCTATAGATATTTGTATGCATAGACATAGCGTACCAAGAGATGGATTGTGAGGAATGACTTAGTTTGTGATAAAAAGTAGCCATTCCAGTTATATTGTTGCTTACTGTTGGATGGCGTGAAGAGCTAAGATGTGTGATAGCCTGAGGCTGTTCCCTCCATCTGTGATAAATATCTTAATAACCAAAATGGTGTGAAGATCTCACATTGGGGTCTCCTTGCATCTGGTAGACATGTCATTACCAGGATGCAGAGTTCCATGGCTCTTTTCGACTGCGAGCAACCTTCCTCTACTCTTCCTGCTTTGATCTTGGGCTTCTGAGAAGGAAAAGATGCGTTCTTCACCGGAATTCCATAGACCTCTAATGTAGACTTCGGTGACCTGGCCCTTTTACAGGTTTTTTTTTTTTTTAGTTTTTCAGAAAGTTATTGGTTAAGTCAAATTGCAAAATAAATATTAGAATACTCTGCATATCTGGTTAAAATGATCCAGGTGAAATCAGAGGACACTGTGTTATATGAAAAAGTGATGGCAGGAGAAGTGGCAGAGCAGAAGGTTCTGATGGTAAAGACCTTTCCACATGTTTGAGAAGAAGACGCAGATGCAGGAAAACATTATGAATGAAGCAGCATATTGTGGTGCTAAATATTGAAGAAATGCATAAATTTAAGAGTATATTTAATTTGTTAGGTCTGAATTAAAGCAGACATATAAGTGAGGACTAGAGTTGTCAGATCTCTTAAAGGACTTTCAATTAAATTCTGTTCAGCAAATGCTGAGACCTGAGTTTTTATTCATATAAAGGCATTGTGGGGATAAAATAAGTGATGCCCAGTGTCCTCCAAGGAGTTTACCCTTATTAGTTAAATGGCACATCAGAGGGAAAACTCCGTGCTGCAGTAGGATAACATATTTTTTTTTCAAATTATGAAGTTAGTAATCCAGTGGAATTATTTAAGTTTATAAAACTAGAAATCACATATATAGCTTTCATGATATTTCAGTGATTTGTAGGAAAATAATAAACTTGTAAGAAAATTTACTTCAAACATACTGTCTCAGTGTTTCGAGCTGAATTGTATTCCTTCAAAGTCCTAACCTCCAGTACCTCAGAAATTGAAGTTAATATGTGGTCATTGATGTGGGACCTAATCCAATATATCTGATATCCTTATTAGGAGAGGAAATTTGGGCACAAACATGAACAGAAAGAAGGTAGTGAGAAGACCCAGGAAGAAGATGGCCATCTCCAAGCCAAGAGAGACGTGGGACAGCTCCTTTCCTCGCAGCCCTCCAGAGAAGCCAGCCCTGCTGATGTCTTGGGCATCAGCCTCCAGAGCTGTGAGAAGATGAATCTCTGTGGTTTAAGCCCCCGGTTGGCGGCACTGGCAACCTGATATCCTCTCTGGCTTGATTTCAGTGTAAGCATCATTATTGATCTGAAGTGGGCATTTAGGCTACTGGGAATGGGAAGCAATATGTCTCATCTTTCATTATATTTTCTCAGAAATCTATTAATCTAACCAAATAATAAAATACTGATGCCTAAGAAAAAGGAACATTAGAACAGAAAAAGTAAAGAGTAGTTACCGCACGCTATAGGACTAGAGATGGGGACTTTGAGAGTGAACTGCTGCTTTATAATATGAGCCCTTATGCACATTTTATTTTTTTAAATCAGTTGCATGTTACTTTCATTAAAATTAGATAGATGGAAATAGGTGGGTAACTAGAAAATATAAACAAACCAGTGGGCAATGTGATCACATTTAAACAAGTCAAATCAACAATAACGTTTTGTTTACTCCTCCACTTATAAATTTCTCTCTGGTGCACTTTGACTCTGAAGTTCATAAACAGAATTCAAACTAACCAAGCAGAAGTCATGTGCTGCTCTTAAGCCAAAGCCCTGACTAGCTAACAAATTGCCCCTAGGAATTAACCAGACCAAAATCCCGATTGAATAACTAATTGGCTTGTCTCCTCATGAAAAGAAAAACAAAGTACATGTACATTTCTCTACCGTAGACACAGAGTTAGAAAAACAGAAGATTTCAGAACCACCTCCGAGAAGATGTTTAAATCACTGACAATGAAATTCAACAAGGTGCAACCTAGAGAAGGGAACGATGAGAATACACAAGATCCTGGTCCAAGCAGTCAGTCCCAGCGGCTCAGGACACAGGTATGGTGCTTACATTCCTACGTCAGTCTTCATTCTCGGCATTTCTTGTTTGGCGATGGATTTTAACAAACATTGTGATGCGTAAAATTGCTTCACAGCTTTATCTCCTACTGTCTGGGTCACATACTATTTGTCCTTGGGGTTTATCACCATTATTTTATGTGTTCTGTGTGTATGTGTATGTATGTATGCCTTAAAACAGAATAATGTTTTGAAGACTCCTAGGATCTGGAAAAGCCAAGTAAGTCTTCTCAGAGTTGATTTTCACTTCTACCATCATCCAAAATGAAATCATTTCTTGAATATTAAATTGGCTATATGTTTTAGTTGCAACAAAGAATGTCAAACATCTGATCTTAGTAAACTACAATTTAACACTATTTTCTCTAGACCAGGAGTTCTCAAGAAGGAGTAGTTTTGCTACTTGGGTCATTTGGCAATGTCTGCAGATATTTTTTGGTCATCACAGTTCAGGGGTAGGGATGTTACTGGCATCTAGTGGGTAAAGGCTAGAGACGCTGCTAAACCTTCTAGAATGTACAGGACAACCTTTCACAACACAGAATTATCCAGTTCAAAATTTTAATACTGCCGAAGTGGAGGAAACCTGCTCTAGGCAAAGCTTTTCATAAATCCTAAGTCTACTCACCTGTAAAATGAAGATAGCACCTGCTTTATAGTCTTGTTATATACAATAGAGACAGTATATATAAAGCACATAGTAGGGACTTCCCAAGTGGCAATTATTGTTATTATCATTATGATTAATAGTGTGTGTTTATATGACATATAGGCCCCAAGTGATAATTATGTAATCAGTATTCACTTATAACTCTATAGGACAATTTCGTATGAATTACTCACTAGACTTATCTAAAAGAGCTACATTAGAGCAATAATTACTTTCTAAAAGAATTGGATGAAAGCTGTCAAGTACAAGCAGGCATGTGCATCAGGGACTAGAATAGCAAGATCAAATTACTCAGGTTTAAATGAGCCTGGAGTATAGAAACTACTGAGAATATTGGCCCTAGAAAATTTGCCATCTTATATTCACATTGACTGTTTTTGCAGTGAAGAGAACATGTAGAGGATATGCTTAGCATGGCTTTGTGAGATGCCCTGGACTTCTAATTCTTATGTCAAAATAAACAATCACGCACTCTGAAGTTATTGATACGTGTAAAAACTCATGGAATATTGGAAACGTTGAGTTGGGTACTTTCCTCCAGCTGCCGTGTTACTCGAGGAGAGTCAGAGTCACTAGAGAGATGTTTAAGCCTTGCCGTTCATGATTATTTTCCCACAGAGCATTCAAAAAAAGCTAACATCATTCTCTTGGAGAACACAGTAGCTAACCGCAGTTAACTACGTGCCAAGCAAGGTGCTGTCCCCTTTCCAGACACTATTATATCGAGTCCTCACAATAATCGCAGGGCCTATTATAATTTGCTGCTTAGACACAAGTAGCAAATTGCAGAGCCTAGACTGGAACTCAGCACCTGAGAGCTAAATCGCTAGGCTATCCTGCTTAAGAACAGGAGGAATATCCTACCCACAAGATAAAGGGATATTAAGGGAAGGCAGAAAGAGCAGAAACTCTTTAAAAAGTTGTCTTTCCTTCAGAAACAGTAATCCTAGATAAGTACTTGGACCAGACACAGGTAGAGGGACTCTTGAGAATACCCCACGCCATTCTGACGGCCATAATCCGTGATTGTTAGTCATGAAGTCCACTGGCATCACATTATATCTTAGAAGTCCCATTGGGTGACTAATTTGCATCTATTCTTTCCAATAATGTACGTAGAGGAAAAATAGTTTTTCTCCAGTTTCAAATATGCTAAATGTTAAAAATGACCGAGAGTTATAACCATGTTTTCCTCCACAGAATATAACCTTTCAGGCCCTTAAACAATACACTTCTGGTATATAAACAGGTGGTTTGAGCCCTATAAGAAAATATCTAGAAAAGAATGTCAATTTACATCGTATTTTTCAAAGTGTCACTTAAATAGTTAATTCTTAAACCAGAATGTCATAGGTAGTTAAGATTTGTCAATAACCAGTAAATCAAGAACTGCGAACTCAGACTAACCCAAACTCTCTCTCATACTTCAGAATAAGACATGAACCTACATTTGCATATGCGTGAAGGCTGTGATGGAAATGTTTATGAATAACATTATAACATGATGTAAAAGTACCTGATTATAGTCAGAAGGCTTTATCACTACTTCAGAACATATCCAGGGATCTATACCTTTCTAGACACTTAATTTCCTATTCAGTAATATAAGAATAATAATAGCTGCTTTGCCTAATACACGTGGTTACTGTGAGGCTTAAATTAATTATCTGATTAATTTACTTTGCAGTTTAAAATGTTTCTGACATACGGTGTCTGTAAATAGTCAAACTGCGTATCGAGGCTCCCAGGCCCGTCAGGGTCCTCGTCCCTGCACGCCTGTAGTCTCGCGGCCCCACCCTCTTTCCCCTCCAACCACTTTCACTGTAGCCTTCCCGCTCCTGCAGACAATCACACTTCAGGCTTTTGCTGACTGTGCATCCCCTGCCTGGAATATTTTTTGTGCCATGTCCATCTGAAAAACAAAAATCTCATCTTGCTTTCTAAAATCACGAGTCACTTCCTGTTTAATAGTGTGCTTCCCTTCCCTTATACTCCAGGAGAATTGACCACTGCACATGTTTGCCCCATCTGTGACCTCTACAGACACTGTCCCATCACCTATGACATTCTGTTGTAGTTATGTTTTTATGTGTTTGTTCCCCTGCTACACTGAGCGGCTAGGGAGCCAGTCCGTCTGCGCTCTAACCCATGCCTTGTTTCACTCTGTCCCCATAGGAAGATTCTGAGGCACACATACACACTGACCACGTCCAGGGAGACATACCCGCATTTCAAAGGAAAGCTTCACCGTGCAGGCGAATGATGAGGGAGAGGCAAAGGAAATCATGGAGGGCAGGAAGAAGAGAGCTCTTCTGAGAAGGGCACTAAGCCCTCTTCTCTCCAGCATTTTACATTCTGCCATAACCACCTAGACCAGGACCCGCGCTAGGGCTGTGAAATGTGAGGATCGGAATGGGGATGGGTGTGTGCCAGGGAGATGCAGCTGCCACACTGACAAAAACAGGCGGGGCCTGTGGCCCGCGGGCTGCAGAGAGCAGACTTGATGAACAGCCAAGAGTGTTCATTTAAGTGCAAGAATTTTTATTTTCAGTGTATCATAAACATCAATGTTAATGATTGTCTTGATAATTGGATGAAAAACTGTTATATTTTACATTCAAATTGATTTTTATGTAAACGAATCATGTACAATCTATTTTGTTTTTCAAAGGGAGGAAATAAAAGTGAAAAGAAATCTCTCAAAACCAAGATGACTCCAGTTACATTTGAAGAGTCACACATCAGAATACAAGGTCAGAACCCAAATCTGTACAAAAAACTGAAAAGTAAAATGCATGTTTCTCTGAAGTGTGGTGTCTGATGAAACACTTGAGGCTATTTGAAGATCTGAATAGTTACAAAAACATTTCTTCATTCAGTCGCTTATCAATAGATGTTTTTTCAATTAAATTTATTGAGGAAACATTGGTTAATAACATTATATTATTTCAGGTATACAACATTATAATTTACTATCTGAAAGCCCTATTGTGTGCTCACCACCCAAGGTCTAGTTTACTTCCCATTATCATATGTCTGACCCTGTTTACTCAATTCCCTCCCCGCTCTGGTAACCACCATTCAGTTGTCTGTATCTATGAGTCTGGTTTTGTTTGTTTTGTTAGTTCATTTGTTACTTTTTGTTTTATATTCCACATATGAATGAAATCATACAGTTTTTGTCCTTTTCTGTCTGACTTCACTTAGCATAATACTCTCAAGATCATCCGTGTTGTTGCACATGGCAGTATTTCCTCTTTTTATGGCTAATATTCCATTACATATATATACCACATTTTCTTAACCAGTCAGTCATCCATCAGAGGACACTGAGGTTTTTTCCGTGACTTGGCTGTTGTAAATAAGGCTGCAGTGAACATATGAGTACATGTATCTTTACAAATTAGTGTTTGCTTATTTGGGGGGTAAATACCCAGAAAAGGAATTGCTAAATCATATGGTAGTTCTCTTCTTAATTTTTTAAGAAACCTCCATACTTTTTTCCATCTCTTCAATAGATGCTTTTTTTTATCACCTACTTACTATGTGCCAGGCACTCGTGGGCTGGAGATAGAATAGTGAACGATATGGGCCAAGACTGTATTAACATAAGCGCATAAAGAATAATGTAATTTCAGATAATAGTTATAAAAACAATAAAATAGAGGTGGACTATCCACGTTTAAAGGTTCTGTGCTCATACCTCTGCTCTTTTCTCTTTAAACACTCTGCGTTAGCAATCGCATCCACGCCTTAGGTTGCCACACTCATTTCTACATTGGTCGTTCCCGATCCATATCAAACCAATTCCTTTTTAAGACCTCGTCTAATACTTTCCAAGTAACCATTGACATCCCTACCTGTATGTTCCACGGCCACCCCAAATAAAGAATTTTCAAAATTGAATTCTTTACTTCCCCTCAAATAAGCTCCCTTTCCTGATTTATTTCTATTCCAGGTCCTGTCATTTCTTCAGTATCCCAAGCATGAAACCTCATTTATGCTTCATTTGTCTATTTAGGCTATCCTGTAAAGGAAATTAGTCACCAGGTCTCTCTTCATAGGGGCCCTCAAACCCACTTCGTTCCTCTCGAGTTCCACCAGTACTATCCTTGTTAGGACTCATGCCCGTAGTCTTCCCAGGCTTTCTCTAAGTGGTCTCTTCTGTTGGAATTCTGTTTCACCCGGTCTCCCCTTTTCATCCAGCCCAAACACTGTTAGCAGATTACTTTCCATTAACTGCCACTTGGACTTCACATCTCTGCCTAAAAACAAAAAGAGAACTATCAAAGTAATTTAAACTACAATTCTATTTTCCTGTGAGTTATTTTATAATAGGGATGGTTTCAAATCTACAGTTCTTCTCATGTAAAAATACAACATTAATGGCATGAAACCAAGAATTGCATCTTTGGGATGACAAGTTTATTCTTATCCTCTCATGCTTTTTTCACAGTGCATTTGTAAGCTTAGTTTTTCATAGCTGGTAATAAAAACTCCTTTGTGGAAGCGTCATTTAACAGTGGAGCTATTTGAATGGGAGGGAAGAAAACAGTTTCATTTAAATCTGCAGACTTAGCATGTCTTCAAAGACTTTAATAAGAATAACAATTATATTTAAGATATTTTGTTTAGAAAAAGCAAAATTATTAGTGCTTAAGCATAGCTTCTTATATATGCTTGGTGTTTTTATGTTCTTCCTTCAAAACATGCAGGGACAGTGTCACAATATCTGCAGATGTGGTTTCCGATTATAGAATCTTATCTTCTTCTGAGCATGGTCTAATTTATATTTGCCATGGAATGAAAAATGCAATACATTTTGGATTTAAATAAAGATAACTTTCTAAAGTCCTCTTTTGATTACAAGCATCTTTCTTAGGCTTCCATTTCACCTTGTATCACCTTAAATGCTTCATTAAACAAATGTTTTGGTACCGGTGGAGGGTATGTAAATGACTTACCTATCAGTTTATGATGCCATAAGGTGACTCTCTTTCTGGAGGAAATGGATCAAAAATAGGCGCCTGCAGCTGTGTGGTGTGGCAGGCTAGATAGCAGCCTCTCAGAGACATCTGTACCCTAATCCCCCAATCTGTGGGTCTGATACATGGAGAAAACATGGTTCATGTTATTCTGTTAAGGATCATGAGATGGGAAGATTATTCTGGATTATCCAGGAGGCTTCAGTGTCTTATGAGAAGAAGGAGATGGGGTGATGGAAGCAGGGGTTGGATGGATGCAGTCTGATGATGGAGGACAGGACCGTGAACCAAGGAATGCAGATGGCCTCTCCAAGCTGGAAAAGATAAGGAAACATCCTTTCCTGGAGCCTCCAGAAGGCACGCGGCCCCTCAGACCTGTCGTAGATTTCTGACTTACAGAACTAAGAGAGAATAAACCTGTGATGCTTTAAGCCAGTAAGCCCAGTGTCATGCTACAGCAATAGAAAACTAATGCATACAGTTTTTAAAACTTTAAATGGTAACAATTTACTTTAAAATTTAAAGTAATTTAAAACAAGTTACTTTAAAAAGTAATAATAGAAAATTGAGTTTTACTCCAAAAATTATGTAAATTAATAGTAAAGGCAGTATATTATACTAGAAAGAGCACTAGGTGTAGAGTCTCACACCCCTGAATTCAGATTATAACTCTGCTACTTACTGGCTTGACATGACCCTAGTCAAGACATTTAACATCTCTAAGTCTCAGTTCACTCATGTGTGAAGTAAAGATAGAACTGTCATCACCAGGTTGTAGGTACAAATTAAATTAGTTAATAACGTAAAGCATTTAGCATTGAGGTTAGAAAAATTCCGATGCTGACAGCTGATAGCAGTCATGTAGTGCAAGTGAGGACCATGCACGCCCCTCCAGAGAGCCCAGAGGCCACCCAGTCCCAGCCCGTCGCTGCCGTGTGGGTCAGGGTCAAGTGCTGCCAGGTGTTCCATCTTCAGTCTAGGGCAACTGCAAACACAAATTTTAATTTGAAATCTCCCAATATTAAATGTTGACTTTTATAATGTTTAAATATTCCGTTTTTCAATTCACTGAAAGAAAAACTGAGCTCTTCACATTTAGCCCATTTTGTGCCGCCCACCAGCCACGTGGTAGGTACTCAGCGCTGCTCATAGCTGTGAACATGGACAGCCCGAGATGAGATCTGAATCCGGCAACGTTTTTAGTTATCCTCTTACTCTTCCTTTACTGTTCACTCACGATCCCCATCCCAGACTTCGTGTTGCAGGCAGACTCCAGGTGCAGTGTCCTCCCTGGACCTCCGGTACCAAACCACTCTCCACAGCCAAGACCCCCGGTTCTACGCCAAGCACAGCTCCAGGTCCTCAGAGGCATCCGGCCTTGCCAGTCCCCGCTTTGTCCAGACTACCTAGCCTGTGTCTCAGCCAGCTCTCAGTTTGGACAGAAATCCAGAAAGTTAAAAACTGTTCTAGAGCTAAAGTTGCTCAAAACGAACAAACAAACAAAAAACTATATTAATTTTTTAAATCAGAAAAAAATAGAGGAAAAATCTTAGGTCGTTTAAACAGAAAACCACTTTTTGGTCCTGAGCAGTAACAATTTAATTATACAATTTAATTTGTCTTGTACGGATAGGAAAAGAGCCAGGCTGTCTACTGACATTTGATTTATACTCAGAAAAGGCTTCCCTGTGTGTGAGATCAACCAGTGTGACCGGCATGCATGGGAGGTACCAGTATGGCTCTTTTGAGTAGTGCATCCACTCTCATACTGGCAGTCCTCTTCATCAGCAACGGATAAGGTGGGAATATAGAAATGACAAAAAAACGAATGAAACTGTCTAATAAAACTTCTCAAGCACATTGCTCTGCTTCATTCAAAAAGAAATCGTCTTATAAACAATTACAGTTACAGAACTCAGTAAGAAATCGTCTTTCAAAATGATTCCCGATGTGATGGTGAACAAAAGGAATGAGTGAACGTGGCACGTGAGATTCCTGAAAACCTAGTCCAGAGAAGAGATAGATATGATGTGCTTTATAGTTTGAAATGATGAAGAAAATCTGTCACCGTGCTGGTTTGGCAAGGGACAGAGCATAATCAGGGCACCGTCGTTGGCAAGGGCTCATGGCAAGAAAACCTGTGGCTGACTGCACTGAAAACCTGCTGAGGGATGGGGGCAGCCCAAGGACCTCATTACTGAGACTGCCTCGCTCACGGCGGCTTCGTTTCTTATGACTGCTGTTTCTCTGCGGATCCTTTCTGGGCTGCGCTCCTCCATCTCCACCTTTCCCGTCCAAATCCAGACAGCGGGCCTACCGGCTTAGATAACAGCCGTTGCTCCCGCTGGGCAGGGCCCCTATTACTGCCACGTGATGCGGGTCACCAGCCAACCGCAGACAGGCCACCCTCCTCAGGTCGGGGGCCCAGCTGTGGCACAGAGACCGTTCCTGCCACACTGCGGCAGAGAGCTGCCTCGCTGAAGTCGCAGTGTTAGGGAGAGCCGGATCAGCTGGAAGGGAAGTCAGGTGTAGGAGCGATACTCTAAAACAGCAAATAGAAGGCCAGGCTCTGACATAAAATTCCTGTTTCCACCTGTTTTTAAAACTTAAGAGAATCTAACCAATGGGGATATGGTGGGCTTGTTTTTTGGTTTTGGTTTTTTGGTCGGGAGGGATAAAATGCCATTTTTCTTTGTAGTGTGCATGATTTGCACATATTTGCATAATTCAGTTAAATCAAACTTTATGCCTTTAGGCTTCTTTCTGCTATAGAATGTAGCTAATTTGTGGGGAATTGAGTTCTGCTTCCCTGACCCCTGGAACTCACTCAGTCAGTCGGAGCTCCAGCGTGCCCCGCATACATCAGCGCTGCGGAGCCAGAAGAGTCGATGTGCCTCTTGCTGAAAAAGACAATTTACTCCAGTCTGGCTGGCGGAACGCTTTGTGTTTATATTGCATTTTTCTTGAATGGAGTCTTTATCTAATCCTCACAGAAATCCCCATGACAAAAGTATTTCTCATTTTATGGATGAGGAAACTGTTATAAAAGGCGACTTATCTAGAGTCACCCAGAGAATTAGTGATGTCGGGATCCGAGCTTTCTTCGGTACCCAGCTCCAGTAATTCACCACGTTCCTTAATACCTGTACATAAAATGTGTTTTCCAGAGGAATTAATCCCAATTTAAAAACCTCTGCAGCCAAGCATGACGTGGAGAGAGGACAGGCCTCCCTAATCCTCACACAGTGCCAAAGCTACCTTAGGTGGATCTACATTCTTGTTGGTTGGTTTGTTTATTTCTTTACCTGCGTTGATGTATCTTGAAGTAAAAAAAAATAAAAATAAAAAAACCTTCAGGACTTGCAGCACATTGAGGCTGATGGAGGCCTCTGACCTCTGACCCACTCCAAGACTCTGCCAGCCGCCCTGCACCCCTCAGACGGATGGCTCTGGCTGCCCACGAAGCCTTGTGTCCTGCTGTTCGACAAGTACTGCTGTTAGAGTGCTTGGCGTTTCGTTTGTTTTGTAAATACCACTGATGGGCCCTCCTTCTGCATTCTGGAACATGGGAAATTTACTTCCTGTGTAACAGCCCGGCAAAGAATTTGAAATAACTGCTAGGTCACTAGTTAGTTTTCAGTACTTCAGCTAATGAACCGCAGTTCCGGAATCATTCCTCATGTGGGATGGTTTCCAGAACTCGCGCCTACTCTGATTCCGTCTCTGGATTTTTTATGGATTGTGTGAGCACTTCTTAACATAAAGTGTTCCATTGTTCTGTTCTGTGACATTTTATGGTACTCTTTTATATTCCATTTTATATGCATTGCTGTGTTTGTCAACTTCTTGCATGTCATTTGACAGTCTACAAAGATAAAGTAAAATTTCAAGTGTTATAATTAAAATAATTCTAAGAACATTATGTATTCTGGCAACTACGAAAGTAACCACAAGCTGAGTCAAAAATACAATCTTGGATGCCAGAAAATAATCATTAATCATACACTTCTTAAAACTGTGTTACTCATTATTTTAACTGCAAATGTTCATTCATTAAGATGAAAATAATAATATCATTTATGCAACTAATCAAAGTGCTCAGACTGAGTCTATTAATTCATCCAAAATCTAGTTACTCAGGTATCATTGGTGTCTAGCAAAAGGAGATTTGTTTTTGAAACAAAGCCCACAGTACTTTTGGTGTTTTAAGAATTCAGAAGTCAACCAAGTGATAGCATCGCCTGCACCAAACATTACAGCCGATGGGGCATTTTCAAGCCTTCTCCTTGTTAAATCCATCCCCCAGAAAAGCCATGTGAACCAATGCCTATCAAATTCACAGTTATCCCAAATCAGTTTCTTTCTTTGAATCCCTCCTTTTCCAGCAGTTATTTAGTGCCGCTGATAAAATGTAGAGGCTAACGGCTTTCTGCATGACTGACTTCCTCACGTGAAGAGGGAAGCAGATGTTCCACGCCTGCGCAGGTGTCCGTGGCGCTCTGCTCCAAGGGGCCAACTTACTCAGAAGTGACTTACAGAGGCCCAGAGATGCCGGCAGGCCGAAGACAGCGTCGGCCAGGCACGTGGAGGGCAAAGGCAGTCAGTCCTCATTTCTGCACGTTCAGTAGAAGCCACCCCCGGGAGCCCTCTCAGAGACTCTAGACTCTGTTCCAGGACAGACGGCGACCAAGCAGACCCATGAGCCCGGGCAGCGGCAACACGGCAAGCAGGGCGCGGCTGGCAGAAAGGCTTGCACTCTTTATTTGGGCAGCGACAAAAGAGGGAATCCTGCTGTCCATGCGTGAAGTTGGGAAGAAGCACAACGTGCAGTTGACAAAACCTCACCCAGATGCCAGCAAGATTTGCCATAGATCTTAGATTGCTCTTTCATAATCAGGATGAGGCAAACAATCTGACCATCTGTTCCCACAACCAAGCAGCATGCCGCGTGGATAACAAGACACCCACGCTGACTGTAGCTGACGAGGACCCTTTCGTTTTAAGTCCTCATGGGTATTTTTAAAGTTGTTCTGCTGAGAGTCCAAGAATGGGCAATAACGGGTTTCTCATCTTCATCAACAAGCTATGACCGGGGATTTATTTTGTAATTAAGATGCTTATTCACAAAGCAAATTAGGCTGTAATTAATTTCTAAATAACCTGGCCTTGCCATAATAGAGGCAGCATCATTTTGGAAGGTCTCAATGATGTCTAGAGAAGAACTGATAAGGGGCGAGTATCTGCTCAGAGTTCATTTAATCCAAATGTTATGCCAATAAACAAAAACTTACTAGAATGGAAGAAAAGAACCATTGCAGAACAGTTAGTCATTTATTGGTACTAGCAGGAAAGTAATACTGTGAGCGGAATACATATGCCGTGGCCTGAATGAGGGATGGAAGCGTATGACGCAGCTTATTTTTGTGTGCTTTTTTAGGACATAAGACGTACTCAGTGAAAGCCTCTTGCGAAATACTGTTTTATAGTCATATCCAGAAGTTTTTTTTCCTGATCCTTCTACTCATATTTCATGCTCTATTTCAATTCTGATTCTCTTTTGGGGGCAGGCGTTCCTAGAAAAGTATGTAAACCCAGTGGTTCATAACCCTTTTTTGTAGTGCGCATGATTTGAGAAGCTCATGGTCACCCTAGATCCTCTCCCTGTAAAAAATGCACATATAACATACATTCTCAAGGGCTCCAGTCCACGAATGTGCTGCTACCCATGGCCAGGGCTAAGAACTCTGCTCCGCAACACCTTGCAGCAGTCGCTCCAGCGCCTGTGAACACAGGAGGACTCAGCTGTCAGTTCCTTAGGCAGCAGCACACAGCATGCTGTCAGAGATCTGAAAATAATGTTTTTCCATTGGATAAAGATAAATGGAAAAATATGGCTTAATCCAAACACATAGGGAAATAGCTCCTTCTGTGTTTCTATCAAGAGCCTCTTAGTGCAAAATTACAAATTGAAAGTGCTATTTTTACTCTGAAATCTGTTCAATACTGATAAACTCACTAGTGTCCCACACGTGCTTGTGTAAAAGGACCCTGTCCTACAACTCTCAGTAAGACTGCACAAACAGCAGCATTCCACCTGGAATAGAGTCCTCAGACACAGAATCCAAGGACATGATTACAGGGAAGCTCTTTGCATCCCGAGCCGGTGTGAGTATTTGGAGGGCTTTTCATTTAAACACTACAAAAACATACATATTACTGTGTTTCCTATATTCTATCTAAACTTACTGTCATAAAATAAAGGTAGATAGGAGGTGCATAATGCAGACAACTGCCTAAATCCAGACTTTAAGCTTTCTTATTTATTAAGTTTTAAAAAATATAAGTAGTGACTCAATATTATGATTTCCTTTAACCCTGAAATATGCTCCTAAAGAGTTTAGTACATTGAAAGATTTCAAATGGATTATAGGAATGTCCATATTACAAGACTTGCACAGTGAAAACTTTGGTAAACTAAGTGATCACCCCCAATCTATCATTTTTGTAAATCCAGATTTTCAATACTGGGTTAGCTTAACTTTTTGAAACTATAATGTATTATAGTAAAATAAGAGTTATGATTTGTGCCTTGATCTTAATTTTCTACACATAGTATATCCAATTAAAAATCAATTAGAAACTGTGGATAACAAATAACCATTACATCATGTTCACTGTATTTCTTTGTTCTGTATTTTCTTTTATATTAAATAATTTACTTGCATTAAAATCTCCTCTGTAATTCAGATACTTACCAGTGAGTTGATTATTCTCTGGGTAAAATACAATTTAAACTATATTAATTGGAAATTATGGACTTGAAGGGAAATTTTAAATTTTAGACTGAAAATGAAACCAGTACACTTAAGTTTGTGTTCCTTCTTCAGAAAAGATGTCATAGCTAAAGATGATCAAGATTTGATCGCATTTAAAAAATTAGAATCTAAAAATTCTAAAATACTGTCAGTGACATCATTTCTGTTTTATTTTTTGGAATTTTATGATGCATCTATTTCAGCCATAAATTATGGATAGTTTAGCAGAACCAAAAAATGCCTTTTGAATGATGGCTCCTCATCTTTGCTAATTTCAAAAAAAAAAAGAAATATACTGTGTGAACTTCTTGTTACATGGCACACCAGCTTTAAGGCCGTTTTTCATCAGCCTGAACATATCTGCAGGCTAGCTCCTCCTGCGTAAAGTCCTACTTTGTTTAGCGGGAACCCTAGGGGTGGAGTTTCTAAAAAGCCTGCTCTGGGAAAACAAGCAGCATCTCTGTAGCTTGCGTCGTGGAGTATAGCTGTATCAAGAGTGGCGTATATTCTTCCATCTATATGTTGTTTCCTTTCCATAGACAAAATCTCCGAGAAAAATTCGCGGCGAGATCTGACCACAAACCCTGACCCTCAAAGTCCAGCAGAATCCGCCAGAACGATGCCAGAGCAGAGGGAAACGGGGGCTGAGAAAGAAGATCCGGTCAGGTGAGAAGTCAGTAACACGTAACGGCATGTTAGGGGGACCACTCACCCTCCCTCGGGACAATCACATGTTGCCCTGCTTAGCTGAGCAAAGGACCAGAGAGCGACAGCAGTCACAGAACACAAGGGGACTGGCCGGAGCTAAAAGGTAGCTCCTCTCCAGCCTGTTGTCGCTGACCAGCCACTCATGGCCACCAAGCAGGATCTCGGTAGCTCTTGAGTGTCGGTCAGGCCTCACAAAAACACTGTAGCTCCGCGCCTGAGTCGTGAACTCACAGGAACAGCTAACATGTTTACTAGACATCAGTTCTAAAAGGAAGAGATTAGAGAGAATGTATGGTTCTTCTTCAGGTTCAGAGAAATAGCTATTCTGATTCTGTAAATACGTCATTGTTCCAGAAGATTGTTATTTCCTTTCATCTGCTAAGGAATGCATGGCACAGTAACCAAGCATAAAGAGGGGAATGGGTGATCTTTATGCCACTGAAGGAATACAGTTTTATAAATACTTCTCTCAAAAAAATTATTGGAAATATCACAAAAGAGAGAGCAGTTTCAGTGCGAATCAGTGAATCCACAATAAAACGCAATGAGGAGCCCCTTCATTTTGCTGCTTCTCGGCTTGTTATGTGCCTGCTGTTCCAATTTGAATTGTTTAACTATAGTTAATATAATTGCAGTAGGTTTGTGAAATGATAAAAGTGTACTCTTCATATTTAACAAGCATGAAGAGTTGTCATTTAAAAAGAAGTTAAAAGTGCCCATTCTCCCCCCGCTGCCCCCAACGCAGTCTCAGCAGCTCCTCTGCTGTGTGAAACTGCATTGCCAGTGGGCGTTACGTGAGAATCTAGGACTTGAGTGTTGCACATTGAGCACTGGCATCAGAAAGAGAGAGCGCATTTTCAATAAACACAAACTCACTCTACCACACACACACAAAAATACCGTTTAATAAAATTTAAACTTGGCAGAGAGAAGATGTTTAAACTCTGAGGTAAAGACTGGTATCTTACAACTAGGGTAAGTAATTATTTCTATTATTTCTATAACCGTTGGTATTTACAGAGTGACTTGCAGTTTTATTAGTGGGTCCTTATTGTCTTCACAGATAAGCAGCAAAGGCACAAAGGTCAATAGTTCACCTGTAGTAACAGGGTCGCTCAGCTAAGAACAAACTGCAAAGGATTCAAATTCCAGAGTGAGGCTTTTTCCTCCCTCCCAACAATACACTCACTTTTAATCAATAGCTAAATATCTGAACTAATCTTTCTTTCTAGCATTTATTTTAGTATATTTAATTTTTTCTAATAACTACTGTTGATAGGTAGATTTTGAAAAGCCTGGAGTTGAAGCCATAACTAACATTTTTAGGAACGTAGTCCTCTTAACCCATATTCGTACTTGGTTTAGTACTTTCACACTTCTGAAACATGAAAATGGAAAGCATTCAATTACCCGAGAGTGGTTGGTAAGCGTGTCTCAAAATACAGAACCCCAGGCATAGCCTGTAAGGCCCCGCCAGGTCCGTGCCCCACCTCTTGTCACTTGTCCTCTCCCGACACAGTTTCTTCCCTCCCTTTCCATCTCTCTGCTCACCACACCAGTCCTGTTTCAGTGTATCACACTCATGAATTGATTATTCTCTGGAATAAGTGATTAATCTTTCTGCAGTATAGGCAACAATGTGGCTTGCGAATTATTGACAAGCTGAGTAGATCCAAGTTAGCTTAAAGGTCTTGCTTTCTTCTTACACGGCTGGTCACACTTTCCCTCAGGACTGAGTGAAAACCAGCTGCATTGAAGGAGCAACTTAAAAGGGTCACTGGGAGTTCCAGTGTCATTTTTAACTGATAGGACACTGGAACCTTCATGTTCCAGTACCGGGTAGACGCTACCGAAGGCTTCCTCTTTGGGCTTCACGGGCATCAGTGGTACAACAGTTAGAATCCTTAGAGGGCAGAGTTTTAACACAGTACTAGAAAATATCAATGATAAAATAACTTTCTATTAAAAGTTTTATTTCATAATGTTCTCAATGAGTAAAGATCATTTTGGCATTTGCAGTTATTAGAAATCAATGCCTTCAACCTTGGGTAAGGTCAGGTTTTAAAATGCTCTTTCTCTCAGAAAAACAGTAAGGATTTGATTGATTGCAGGCACTTAATATAGATGCTATGTGAGTGACTGATTCTCACCTCAATTTTTGAATTTCGAAAAAGATTATTCATAAATAAAATTTTAAATTAGATTTCTCGTTCTGAATACTTTTATCTTGTCCTCTGGCCTAAGCTCTGAGCTGAATAGGGATTATGTGGCAAGGCCGATCAATAAATATTGGGGAGGAGTGAATGTTGAGGATTTTGCTGTCTGTGTGAAGTACAGTGTAATATTATTGATTATGCATTTAGTTTCTGTCACACTCAGAAATGGGCAGAGGTGGATACCGAAAAACCAGGATGGGTGGATGGACGGACGGACAGATGGACGGACAGACAGACAGATGGGATGGACAGGATGGATGGATGGAGAGTGAAATTTATTATCAGAGACTGGCTTACATGATTAGGGAAGCTGAGCTGGAGACCCAGGACAGCCAAGTGTAGTTCCAGTCTAAGTCTGAAGACCTGAGAACTGGGAGGACTGATGGTGCAGTTCCAGGTCATACGCTGGCAGGTTGGAGAGCCAGGAACAGCCAGTATTTCAACTTAAGTCACCAGGCAGGAAAAGACCACATCCCAGCTCAGTCAGGCAGATGAAGTTACCCCTCGCTCATGAGAGGGCCAGCCTTTCTCTGCTATTCAGGCCTTCGACTGATTAGGTGAGGACCACCCACATCGGAGAGGCAGTCTGCTCTATGCATTGTACAGTTTCAAATGTTAATCTCATCCAGAAGCGCCCTCACAGACACGCCCAGAAATGTTTTTTACCTGGACACCCTGCAGCCTGGGCAAGCTGACACTAAAATTAACCATCACAATATCTCTATTATTCACATAGAGAATTGAAACTCTATGAGCACTGATTTTTCTGATGCTAAAATACCGTCTCTTCTTAGTATTTGACACTGTCCTCCCACATCACCTACAATGGACTGAATGCCCGTGTTTCCTTTACGTTCACACAGGGAAGCCCTAACCCCCACTGTGATGGTGTCGGTAGGTGGGGCCTTTGGGAGGGGATTAGTTCATGAGGGTGGGCCCTTACGAACAGGATCAGTGCTCTCATGAAGGGGACCTAGAGAGCTCCCTTGCCCTCTCTCCACTCTACGAGCACACAGTAAGAATCCTGCAGCCCAGAAGAGGGATCTCACCAGAACCCAGCCATGCTGGCATGTTGATCTAGGACCTGAAGCCTCCAGAACTGTGAGGAACAAATTGCTGTGATTTGTATGCCACCCAGTCCATACTTTGTTATAGCAGCCTGAATGGACTGAGATATCACCTGAAACTCTTTAACACAGAAGCTCTGGACTCTGGGCACACACACCAGCGATCTGCATCTTCACGCTGCCACTGACTGAGGGTCTGATGCTAACTGTTCACAAAACTGCGTACTCCTTTGGGCCCTTGTCTCAGATATTGTTTTGTAAGGACAAAAGAGTATAGAGACATATATTTAAGCCAATTTCACATATTATGTCTATTTAGCTCTTTATATAAAAAAAGTGAGTAAAGTTTACATTATTATTATAAAGATGTGAATTTCATAAAACAAAAATCACTTCTGTGATTTTTTTCTCCAGCCCTCGATAATATTCTAAATGGAGCCTAAAACTAATTTTCTAGCCACAGTAATAATACTTATCTCAAATACATGTCAGCCCAGGATATTTTTTTCATGATATCCAAGTATTATATGTCCACATTTCTGACTGGAACCTGTCTGTATTAAACTAGCTTGCTTTCCGTTTGCACCCTTTCACAACATCTTCTAAATTATCTATTGAGGAAAAATAAATCCTTTGCAAATCTGAAAAAGCAACAAATTCATTATCTTGTCAAATGAATTATTTAGCTTCTGAAAGACATGGAGTTCACCCCTGGAAAGTCTCATTGATGCCATTTGTCAATTACCAGGAAAAATGGCTTGTTTCTGGCATTCCATCTCAACGCATTCTTATTTTTTTAATATAAAAGAGTATATTTTGATGGACACTAATGAATAGCAAGCAAAAGAAGATGTGTTTTGCCTGGAAATGTCAAATAGCTGTGTCTGGAAAATGAGACAGAGGTGAATGCTGATAGGTTAAGTGGTTAAATAATGAACAAGCGAGTGAGTGAAACGTTTGGTGCCCGCGACAGGGCGCACTGCGAGACTGACTTTTACAGTCAGCATATGACTTTTCATCACCATTGCTACCGGTAATGCCGAGAAGGAAGATTATTGCTATGAATAGTCTTCTTGGTTCATAATAGCAATCAGTCTCTATTTGGGAGGTTTTAAAATAGGCAGTCATTTCACAGCAGGAACAATGAGAGCAGAATAGGATTTAGACTCTCATCAGCACTCATCAGCACTGACGTTTATTGTCTTGCAGCTAGACAAGCAAGAATCACTGCAGCAAAGATGCTTAAAAATCCATATGTGACTTTACAGTTGAAGTAGAAAAGGGATGCCACCTATCAAATTTACAAATATAAAATACAATTTATACTTCAATAATTTATATGCTTGTAAAAAGGGAAATCAGCTACACATTTGCCAGTTTTGTGGAATGCGTAATAAAAATGATGCACTATTACTTTTAGCCACAAATTAAAATTTCCCTCTATGGTAAGCAGTAGTTTTATAATTAGGCATTGAGACACTTTTACCAACAGATTAACCATTTATTTTTAATAATAATTGCTCACTTTATTTCAAGCATAACGACAGAATAAATGTTTATAAAAAATTTATTGGGGAGAATGTAATTAAAAATACTCGATGAAAGATAAAACCTCCATTTGAATGCATGTCTGAGCTGGTAAGAAATAAATTCCATTGTTAGAAAGTTTCAATAA